CATTCAGCTGTGGGGGCTTTATAATGTGATGGTCAATCCCACTATTCATTGGTAAAAGAGTAGCCCAAGAGTTTGCGGTAGTGATGATAACTAGCTGTTTTCCCTCTAGTCTTTCACTGTTAAATTAGGGATGGCTAGCGCAGATATCCCTTGTGTTGCTTTGCATGAATTTCCAAACAAACCAAACCATCCTGTAAAAATAGTGTCCAGGTGTTCCTAAGTTTCTGTGTAATTGATGTTACTAGAGAACACATTTGTACTTGTCTAAGGAATTCTCCAATGCTACTGTTCATGGGAAAGTATAGAAATTCCACTGTGGTACAGACTTTGCTTACATGTGGCTAGTACAAGAATAAAGTTGGATCTTCAGTCCTTGTAATTATATTGTCAAGTCCATGGTAGAAATATTGCTGCTATAAGTGCATTAATTAAGACAACAACATAGCAAATGCTGTTGTCCATTCTGAAGAGTTTTCTACTTAGTATACAAGAGGGGTACAAGGCAAGCTTACTAAAAATCAAATGTTCATACTGATTAAACCTTTATGGTAAAATCATAAAGTTGTAGGTGGCTTTCAAAGTTAAATCTTAGACAAATTTTGTGACATTCTTCCCATGGTATTCAGCTTTTACAGAAAGTACTAATCGACCAATACTAATTAAAAATAAATCAAACTCATATTTTTTAATGCTCGCAAAATACAGTAAAAGACTCCTAACCACATTATCTTCAAACATTTAAAAATTTTATTGTTCAAATAACCTAAAACTGAATTTATCTTTTCTGTTTGGTGTGTACAAAGAATTATCGTATAATATGTGAAACTATTGTAAATTTAAATTAATAAATTTCACTGTCCCCTCTGGTATTAATACATGCAATAATACAAAATTTTGATTAAGACAGATGTTTTGTTGATTGAATTATGCTGCTAAATATGAAATTACCAATATTTTCAGTGGTTCATACAAAATACTAAAATATGCATGGGAACTTAGAAGTGGAAACCAAATTGTAATGTTACCTACCTATACTTTTCTGGGCCTTTCCTCTTAAGCAGTGTACATATATGTGGCAAACTCGTGTGAACAGACTGATATTAGTATTTGAAATACTAATATCAGTATTTGAAATAAATTCAAGAGAGACAGTTTGTATGTTAGATTTACATATAAAAGTAAAGGGGAGGAAAATGTAAAATTTCTTTTGCTGTTGTGTTTGACAATTAAAATGCCATGGCCAATGTTCAGTATCTAAGCATGTTACATGCACCAAATGCATACATTTATGAAGATTTTGGTGAATAAGAATTGTTCTCAATTAAAAGGAAAGAAAAATTTCACATAACATAGCATATTATTTTATTTTTATTTATTGTTTTTATTTAGACCAACTATCACTTTAAAGTTACTAGGAAGTGCCTGTGATATTACCAGTTAGAAATTTAACATTAGGCTTAACAGGAGTATCATTAATGTTGGTTAGGTTAATTTAAAGATATTAAGATTTAATGGTGATTTTAATGAAAATAGAAAATGTTTGTTGTTTAGATTTTAAGAATAGTAATGTGCAAAATATAAAAATGTTCATTTAATGTGAGCTTGTATTCATTTGTATTATTGTGGTGCTGGATAGCATCATGTGTTTGCTGCTCTATTAGATAATATCAAGTTTTTTAAAATTTCTGTTTTCTTTCAGTTCAGTTTGGATGCAGAGTCACTGAAATTAGCAACATATTTTCTTATTACTTCAGCCACACATGAGACTAAAATCACTAACTGATCATTAAGCATGTTTTCTAATGGAAAGGAAGCTGTGACCTTACCTGTTATTTCCAGAAATAGCTATTTTTTCTGTTGGTGAATCATTTAATGGCCCAGGGTCTTATCACCGCCATGTTTGAACATGAGTGGTACAAAGTCATTTGATCTAAGTGCTTCACATGAGCAGTCTGACTTTTATGTTATTATATTTTAGTATTTAAGGCCAGGCTCTTCCATCTTAGGCAGATTTGGAAGAGAGATTTTCCTAGGATTTTGTAAGATTGTAGCTTTTATCGAGACTTAGATTATAGAGTTCTTGAGATTGTCAAGATTTAAGACTTAAAAGTTTGTTTCAATAAATTGTTTTACTTTGGGAGGTATGACTTCTAGCTTTACGTTTAACAAAATGGGTTTTATTTTTGTTGTTCAATTTTCTTTTCCTTTTAGCTTATATGAGGGGTCACATTGAAGTGGTGAGAGAGAGAACCAACAAAGGTTTCTTTTCATATTCTCCCTCTCTTAACAGTTTCACACAGACCCCATGCAAACATTTGCCTTGTTGTTTTATATTGTCATGTTTATTTTGATAAATATTTTTTATTGTACATTTTTTGTATTGACTCCATTGGAGTTTAGAAAAAGACAGACCCATCCTCTGTAGCACGATATTTGGCAAACCTTCTCTTTACTTGACCCTACCTGTTTACTCTGTTGGAAATCCATGCACTGGAAAATAACACATTATAAACATAATTAAAGTTTTAGTTTTATCATTGCAGATGTAGATTATGAGCATAGTTTTCCTGATTAGGCAAACAGAAAGTATACCAATTAGTTAACTATTAAAACTACAAATATCAGTGCTTGTCTTTTCTACACTGCCCTGGATGTACAAGTGACATTATGTGCAAAATAAATCATATCATACAAGGTTTTAGCTACGTGAATATATTTATACTCAGTTTCTGAGGCTTTAGAAGAAGAGTTACAAAGTGGTGATCTAATTAGCACAAGTGGATAACAATAAAAACCATAGGTAACTATTTTTGCCTCTTCAAGATTGAAAGAGTTCTGTTTTTGGTATATTAACTTTCTTGTTGGTCTCATTCACTTTCCTGTATACATAAGTGAAGCAGATACAAATAAAAAGAACATATTACAGTATACACAGGTACTTATTATTTTATTTTCACACATATTTAATTTTACAACAGTCAGTGAATACACTAAAACTTAAATTAACTGAAATCTCTTCCAGTTGTTGGGAATAAGAAGCATAGAAAAGTAAATAATCTTGTGGAAAGTTTGTTAAAAATATTCTCATGGTGAGGTTTCTCATAAATGTAAATTAATTTAGAGATAAGTGAAATTTTCCATTGATTTCTTGTGGTTAAGAACATGTTTATTTAAAATCATTTCTGTACAGTTTATGATTCTGGTTGACAACAGTTGGAATTCTTCAACAGCCATTGTCATGAAAAATTTGAATTTGTATTGAAAACAATTATATTCAGCCAATTGCATGGTTCCAAATTATTATTGTTACTGAAGTGTTAAACAGTAGTAATAAGCATTTTTTTATATAATTTAATTTCAATTTTCTAATGAGGTGTGTGTGATTTCAGTTTAGGAGGTGGCACATTCCTTGGATTGTGCTGTTTACTCACAGGATGTGAAACCTTTGAAGAAGCTATTGCTCTAGCAGAAATGGGGGACAGTACCAAAGTTGACAAACTTGTGCGAGACATTTACGGAGGTGACTATCCAAAGTTTAACCTTCAAGGAGATACAGTAGCAAGCAGGTAGTTTTAGTTTTGATAAAATTTACTCAAAACATTTGATTGTTATAGTTCTTACGATGATATCTCAGTATTTACGGAGGTGACTATCCAAAGTTTAACCTTCAAGGAGATACAGTAGCAAGCAGGTAGTTTTAGTTTTGATAAAATTTACTCAAAACATTTGATTGTTATAGTTCTTACGATGATATCTCAGTATTGTTTTATAATTGTACAAAAAATAGCTTCTTTTACTTTGTACCCATATATATGATATATATATATATATGTATGTGTGTGTATCTGTGTATATGTAAGCATTATCTAGGTTCAGATACATATCATATTGTAAACTTTTCAATTCAAGAATGTGATGTAAAGCAGTAACAGTTAAACAATCAATCCAGAAAACAACAGTTTTGTTTTCTGTGACTATTAATTTATACAAACTTACACTTGTTTACTTGTACGATTTCATTTATATCATTCAGTTTACCTTTCATCATTGCTTCTCTAAACTCCATATCTAAAAGTTTGTGGACTCTTCCATCTGGCATATAAGTCACTACGATCTGCTTCTGTTACCAAATCATTCTCTTCATCATATACTTAAAGTTTTCCTAAAGACCTGTAAATTACTGACTCACATCTTTAGATGGCATTATCATGAAGTTTTAGGATCATCTAAGTATGCTAATATTAGTTGTATCTGTCACTGAAAGGGAGGATTACAATCAATGTGGAAATCAATAATGGCTGAAGACATCAGGTACCTGATGATGACAAAACCTTGTACATTTGCTGTTATGTTAAACTTATATTAAAGTTTTTCTTCATTACCCATTCAAGCCGTCTCCAGCCATTATTAGTCTCAAAGTGGGTTCCTCGTCATCGAATGTGGAAATCAATGTTTTTTCACATATAAATGGTTACAAAATATGAATGTATAATTGCTTTTTATTATTTCATGTAATATAGATATATGGTTGGATATAATGTATTGTTACGTCTCCGTTTGTTAATTGATTTTCCGTAACTTCGTTCCGACGAAACTTAAGCGACACAAGTTCTTTCTT